TTTGATTGCTCTTTGAAGGGTAAGTTAATTTTCTTCAATGAAGTAATACTTGGTATATCAACCACACTCAAGGCCAGGTCCTACACACAAAGTAGTTGGCCAGCACAAACTGGTCTTCATGGGTTTGTGTTTTATTTTAGTTAATTTTTATTAGATTTATTAATCTTATTTTAATGAATGTTTCACATGTATGTATGTATGTATTTTTGTATGTATGTATGGGCATCATGTGTGTGCTTTGTGCTTGTAGAAGTCAGAAGAATGTATCAGATTGCCTGTAACTGGAGTAAGTTACAGAGAGTTGTGAACCAACATGTGGTTGTTGGGATTAGAGCCTCGATCCTCTGCAGGAGCAGCAAGTGCTCTTAACTTCTGATCCAGCTCCTTGCTTTGTTTATTGAATGGGGTGGGGTTAGGTAGGTAGGAAGGTGGGGAGGGATCTGGGGGGAGTTGGAGGAGGAGAATGAATATGATCAGAACATATTGTATGAAATTCTCAAGCAATAAATAAAAACTACTGAAAAACAAACAAACCAAAACAAAAAAATACTAAAGATGGGCAAGAACACACGCTATGGAATGTGTTCTGTGTTCCAGATATTCCTGTTCAGGCTTGACATCTTAGCTTATCATCAGTCCCGTGCTGTTAGTTAAATAATACTCATTTCTTCTTTTTATAGTTGGGGGAAGATGCTGAGTTTCTTGCATTGTTACTGCTGATCTGCATACTACAGAGATGGATCCTTCCTACCTCTTACTGAAATCACTTACAAGGACACACTATGTATAGTATGAGTGAAAGCCCTATAGGAGGGCAACTGGGCAAACAAACAAAGAAGAAAACAACAACAACCAAAAACCCAAACTAGTGTAGACATATGGTGACTTTACCAACCACAGCAAGAAGGTTTTGTGTTCACAGGAAAACTACAGAAATACAATTTGGTAATAGCCCCTATTATTACCAGTTCCTTTTTTGGCTCAGGAGATAAGAGTACTTGTTGCTTTTGCAGAGGCTTGGAGTTTAGTTCCCAGCTCCTATACCAGGCAGCACAAAACACATTAACTATATAGCTCACTTGCACATATACACACACATACAAAATTTAAAAAAACAAGTATTTACAATCAATGAGTGTTTAAACAGAATGCTTACTTTTAGTACTGTCTTTGTTTTAAGCATTGAGTACATATGCAGGTGTGTGTAATCTAAGTGTGTATTATGTACCAGGAATGGTACTATAAAACAACTCCTATGCTCTAGTCATAGATAAAACACAGGCTCATTAAATTTCATAGGTGTATCCCTTTGTTCCAAACTAAAGGCTATCTGTTGTCTGATGTATCAGCAATGTTTTATTTATTGCTCTTATCAGATTCACCCCACCTTTTCCCACTACTCACGCTCTTTAAAAAATCTTGCTCATTCCTCATAATCTAATTCATTTTTACCTCTTGACTGGAGTTCCCTTCACCACTTCAAAACAGAACGTCCCTTTCTTCCTCTGAGTCCTTGGTATCAGCACTCATCCTCAAATGTGTAGTGCGCCTTGAGTGGTGCTGGTGTGTGTTGCTGTCTGGCTTTTCACAGGAGTACATCCTGCTACCCAAGTAGATCTGTGTGTTCTTTTCATAGAATAAGTACTACACCCTCGTGTCATGCAAACTCACAGTGGACAATCGTGGAAACTATGACTGTTCTCCTGCTCCCAAGAAGCAGAGTCCTTATGCGTGAACTTGAACTTATGTGGAAGAACTGGGTATGCAGCCAGGGATGAGAAAACTGGCTTAGTTTTGTTGATAGCTTCCAGAAGCCTGGGAAAGCAGGTATGCTACTAACGTCCCACTTCATATTCAGATTACAGAGCTGTTTCCCAACTGTAGTTCAGGCGTTTTATACTCCTGTCCCTCAATGAAAGTTATTTTTCTACCTTTTCTTTCTTCTTGCCTCTTTGGCTTAGCATCCAACTATTCATTTTCTCACCAAGCCATCTATCTATTTGTGTGAGGTATCCATTTGCAGTTTGGTTTCCTGGGGCAACAATTAGAAGTTCTATTAGTGCAGGTAAAAAGCGGCACTCTTGTAAGGCGCTGCCTCTCCTATGACTAACTTTCCCTTGAGTCTAAGAGTATGACATGCGCTCTCAGAGTATTGTCTTGGATAATGGGACTCCTGGATTAAAATTACAGTAATATAACCAGATAGGGAAATCTTCCACCAAGTTAAACTGCTTCTTGGAATTTCAAGATGAGAAGGCAATCAGCACTCTTGTATTGTGTGGGACCTGAAGCTAGATGCTGACAGAACTCTGTGTCTTAGAGTTTTACTTAACTCTCCGAGTCTGACTTTGCTCTCTGTAGCCAACTAGCTTTTACCTTTTCCAGCTCTACAATGAAGTATGGTGGACAATATCCTCTGTGCTTGAATCCAAATGTTTACAAAATAGGCTGCTGACCAAAGCTCCATTATCTGAAGGACCTTCACTGCTATCATGGCCCATCCCCAAATTAACCAAAGTATGGCCAGATAAGAAATGATGACTCACCCTATTGTGTTTTCCGAGTAATTATTTGAGTGATGGGTGGTATGATGGGGCCATTGCTTCAGGGAGATATGTTAGACAAGCAAAAGAGGTGTTTTTCCATACCTAATCTCATGCTAGCTTTATAATAGTGGCCAGAGAAGTAAGACAGATGCTGTCCTATGCAGATCACACAGGAGGACATGTGCATGCTTGTAGAAACTAACCAACTCATCCAAGATTCTGACAAGCACTAAATCCTCCTTTCAGAACTGCCTGACAAAATCCATCTTCTACAATACCCTTCAAATCCTACTCTAGTCTCAAAGGTGAGGCAGAAGCATTACCTTTTGTTCTCTTATTAGTTTATCTGGTAGAAATGCAGCTTGAGAGAAGCAGGAAACAGGACACAGGAGAGTGAGAGAAAGAGAGAGAGAGAGAGAGAGAGAGAGAGAGAGAGAGAGAGAGAGAGAGAGAGAGAGAGGAAATACAAGGGAGTGAGTTACAAAGCTGCTCACACATGTTCTGGAATGCAAGTGGTGATTTCTCCTCTCCAAAGAAGAGTTGTTTCAATGTACCCGGAAATGGACAATCTTTTCTTTGCGTCCACTTGATGCCTCTCATGAAATTGACAACAATCTATGAACATTGAACTTAATTATTCAACTATTATTTTCACCTAAAGATGTCTCTTTTGGGGGGAGATTGCTAGTTTAATTAGTCCTCTGTGTACTAAGTACTTTCTTTAAAATTTGAAACTACAACAGTTAATAAAATAGAATATCTATCTATATATAGATTTCTATCTAGATATAGATTCCTGGTTTTTGGGGACAATGTTTCTCTGTGTAGCCCCGGCTGTCCTGGAACGCATTGATCTATAGATCAGGCTGGCCTTGAAGTCAGAGATGTGCCTGCTGCTGCCTACTGAGTGCTGGGATTAAAGGTTTGAACCACAACCACCTGACTGATAAATGTATATTTTAAACGTTTTGAAGCTTACATTTTAGAGACAAGGTGCCAATGGTGTTATATGTTCTTGATGGTGATGGTGGTTTGGGGGATTAAGGGTTGTACATGAGCTTGGATGGTAAAGGGAAAGCTTTAATCAGAACAAAGTGAAGGAAAGAGTAGACAGATATTTTGGGAAAGATGTTCCAGGGACAGAGGAAACACACAGAACACACAGAGACGGTATGGGCATGGGTGGGGTGTTCCATGAAGAGCAGGCAGCCATGAAAGCCACACATGAGGTCAGAGCGACAATAAGGAACCAAATGTCTTAAGACATAATGGCTTTGATTTCTATTTGGAGAAGAACAGAGACGAAGCACATTTAAGTACTGGAATTGTGTGACAAGAATCTGTAGACAGCAGAGAAACATGGACAGAATTGGGAGTTAGGTGGCATGTGAAATGCTGGCTCTGTAGATTAGATGGCCGACAAACAGGTGGTGGAGGATGTAAGGTTATAGTTTTAAAGCGACTTGGGCAGAGTTTGTGATGTTAGAAAGGAGCTATTCAAGAGGAGGTAAAAAGTGATTCCTTCCTTTTGGCTTGAGCCATGACCACAGGAGGGAAAGGTTCGGAGGCAAGATTGGTACTTTGGTCATCCAAAGATAATTGCTATGAACTGAATGTTTGTGTTCTCTCAAAAGTCAATGTATTGGCACTTGGAGGCAGAGTCCGGGGGATGTAGAAGCGTATGAGGGTGAAGGCTTGGGAATAGGGTTAAGTGTTGTAGCAAGATGATAGAGACAAGGTTGCATTCTTCCTGCCTCTGCAACAAGAGATTCCTTGAGAAGACAACTACCTGTCAGGAAGATTTCGGGAAGTGTGCTTTTGCTGCATCCTCCATTCACTAGGACCTCGGCTTTGGACTCTGGGAGTATGAGCAATACATTTTCACTGTTTGAGCTCTGTCGTCAAGCAGCCTGAACTAAGGCAAGGACTGACCTTTGCAATCACAGCTGACCTTGAGTGATTTCAAAGGGTGGAGAAGGCTTGAATGGAAGCTCAACAACGAATAGGAAGTGAGAATCTGGAGGCAACAGTACAGGCCTTGAAGGTTTGGTTTAAAGGGAGGGGGAGAAGGAATAAATAGCACCCCTCATCACCTACCGTCAAAACGTGGTTCCCGCAGTATTTACCGAGGTTGGGGGAGTAATTTCACACAATGGGGCTGTTACCAGTTACTATCATCACCACCATCATCATTAAGCAATTAATTAATCACAAATTTCTAAGCTCTCCTGCTATTTCATAAATTAAAATAAGGGGCCTTATGCCCTGGGGAGCCGGCTCAGTGAAAAGCAGCAGTGTAAAAACGTGGCAGGAAGGTTAAGGAGGAGGGCAGGCTTAGGTTGGAGGCAGAAGTCTCTTGCCAAACTATCCCGCCCCAGTTCCTGATTTTCTTTCTCACTGAAGAGGATGATCTTTCCCCTCCCACTCCTTCCTCCTTTGCCTTTGCACCCCCTACTTCTTCTTCAGCGGTTCTTTCTCAGTGCAGGGCTCTCGCTGGAAGCTCGGCCCCTGCCAGCCTCCTCTTGTCTCGCTGCGCTCGGCAAGAGCACGAGAAAGCAGAAACTCCAGAGAGGGCTGGAGCTGGTGTTCTGATCCTGTGCGATCCAACTTGGGGCTGGGACAGAGGTGCAGGACGCGCTCCAGGTATGGGTCCAGAGCCGGAGCGTGGCCCGCAACCCTCAGGGCGTGGGCGAGCCGGCCGCGTGTGCCTTGCTGTTTGACGCGAGCACCAGCCAATCGGGGCGTGCGGGCAGGCTGCCACGTGACAGGCGAGGCGGGCCCCTTTCCCAGAGCGGCCAGAGGGAGGAGAGGAGCTGAGCCAGCCGAGAGCCTGGGAGCGCAGCGGCCGCGGAGGAGGCGGCGGGCGGGAGCGGCGGAGGCACAGGCTCTGGGCCAGCCCAGCGCGCATCCCCGGTGCCCTGCGCTGCGGAGAGCTCGGAGGAGCGCGGGAGCCGCGACACAGGAGTGGACAAAGCAAGATGGCAGGGATCTTAGCCTGGTTCTGGAACGAGCGGTTTTGGCTTCCGCACAATGTCACCTGGGCAGACCTGAAGAACACGGAGGAAGCCACCTTCCCGCAGGCGGAGGACCTTTACCTCGCCTTCCCCGTGGCCTTCTGCATCTTCATGGTGCGGCTCATCTTCGAGAGGTAAGAAGGGCCGGAGCGCCTGGCTCTCTTGCACACACGCACACGCGTGCACACTCGCCTGCTCCGTGGCGCACGCCCCCGCGCTCGGGCTCACACCTCCCAACCTTTGTGTTCACCGTGGGGTCCCCGATCTCCCGGCCCGGCTGGCCTCTGGGAAGCTAGAGAGGGTTCGACTCGCCCCGCGAATTTCCTCCGTGGCGCCGCGAAGGGGCCGCGGGGAGCTGGGTCGCCGCCCGCGCTCCTCCTTCTCCGGCTTCCTCCTCCCAAAGAGGGCCGGCGAACAAAGGTGAGCGGCCGCCGGCCGCGGGGAACCGCTGAGCCGGGGCTCGGCCGTCTCCATCATAGTGGCACTGGCGCTTCCAGGCTGGGCTTCTCCTCCGAGGCTAGCCGCCACCCACTTGACATCCTGGAACGGTGGGGACGCGCGGCCGGGAGGGAGGAGGAGCGCACACACTTCCAGCTCTTCTACTCCCGCACGCACGCGGGAGACGGGGCCGTGCTGCTGAAGAATTTGCCCGGACCTTTGCCTTCTGCTTGCTCTCTGGCTTCCATCCGTGACATCGTTTTAGGCCCTCAGTTCTAGGAAATGGGTGACGAAAGCACTCGGCATCGTTAGTGGTTTCTTTAAAAGAGGGCAGAACAGGACCGGTGCTCATCATACAAAATGGTCTTTTGAAATCGATAGTAGGACCCCGTGACTAATCATAAGCTTCTTGCTCGTACCGGAAGACTCTTGAAACGTTGGAATAATTGTCATGAAATTTTTAGTATGAGTCCTCACTTTGGTTAGATCTCGCCTTTGTATCTGCACACAAACTTATGTTACTCTCATTGAGTCAGTCTTAAGTCACGAAACTAGGTTTTGACTGCTGTGCATTCAACACGCACTCGTGAAAGAAAATCGGCACCACACACTTCTTTCTTTTAACTGAAAACAAAATCGCCTTCCTCTTTCCTCCTCCCACCCCCATTCATCAGTGAAGACTGAATTTCTTAGATCACAAACATCCATTTCCATTCAACCTCCCCCTTCTGCGCCTCCAACTCACCTTGGCTGTTTCTCAGGCTGCTGTTGTTATCTTGTTTACTCTTGGTTTACCTAAAACCATTATTGAGGATGTCAGGTGTATCTTTTGTTACTGGAAATAGCAACCAAGCTTCCTGGGAACAAAAAAGTATGATTTGTTTTAAGGAAGGTGCATTTTTCATTTTCAATGGGCAGTATTGTTGCTTGTGAACTAAATCAGCTGTTGCCGAGCTGAAATTGTCTTGCACAAAGGGCAGTCCTATTTTAAAACGATTGGAATCCAGTGCAAATATGTCATTGATTCTATCCAGCGCTGAAACTTACTGTGAAAAGCCGGTGTGCTTGAAGGTTGCAAATGTTTACTTACAGAAAATAGGAACTCAAGTCTAACCTTACCTTCTCTGCAAAGACAAGCCGACTTTCAAGAATAATAGCAGGCTGTTGCCTGTGCAGGCACACTGTGAGGGCTCCCCACACAGTTGCTGGATGACACCCTAGGAAATCTGTCTGCATTTGGGTAGCTACTTTACAGGAAATCTTAAGTTGTATATCTTGGAGAACAAAAAGCATGGCAGCTGATGAACCATATGCGAATGCTACATTTTCCCAGCATTCTTTTTCATTCTGCTTCCTGGCTCTTCAGTAGGCGGGAAAAATATTAAAGAGCAAGATAGCTTGGCTTGTACTTGGCTTTCTTTGTCTTACACACACACACACACACACACACACACACACACACACACCAGTGATGTAATAGCTGAAGATTGAAGGTATTGTTTTCTTTTTTCAGAAATATTTTTTCTTCCTAACATAATCTTATAACTTGATTCAAGAGTTTATACAAAAGGGTCAGCAGCCTTCAACTACCAATTGTGACATATGTCTCTCTGTGTAGTGTGTGTGTGTGTGTGTGTGAGAGAGAGAGAGAGAGAGAGAGAGAGAGAGAGTGTTTTCTCAAGTCCATTGATATGAGCAGAAGACATTTAATGAATTTATGATTAATGCTAGTGATTAATGTTCAGAATAATAACACAATGTCACACTTGCATCTTGTATGGTGGGATGGTGCTGACTTTGTGGAGGGCAACTACTTTGTTTCTTCCTTCTGTAGTGGTGACAGCTGTGTCTTTAACTATTCAGACTCAATTCTCTAAAAGTCGAACAGTAATTGTATCTGGAGTTTGAGGTTCTGCATCTTTAAGTTTTTATCAAACCCAAAGTATACACTCTGTGGTACTCACCTCCTTAGTGTACTCGAGGGCCTGAGTCAGTTGTAGCTGAGCCAGCTACAGGATGTGCATGAAGCTCTTTCTTTGCAGTGTTCTGGAATGGCTAACATTAACGAATGCCACTGGAACACAGACAGTTCCTCCAAGTGTCTATGCTTTGACTGCCATTTATTTCAAATTTGAGGGCATATCAGGGGATCTGTGGCTATCCAAGGTCTTTATCTTCTATTAAAGCCAGTAATGCTTTTGCAGAAGCAAAATTGACAGAACGTGAGTGTATATTCTTTAGTCTGAACACATTTCTCCCCGAACAGAAAAACCCTAATGCATTGACTAAGTTGGGTCTTATCAATTGACTAACTCCATCTTTTTGTTTTCCCTGCCACTCTTGGGGTGTGACAGAGGAGGGACTAGTGGCAAGGGTGTGTCATTTTACAACAGCATATGGAGAACAATATGGCAGCTCAGCATGGCTGGCTAAAAATAGAGCAACCTAAGGTCACTGGCTTGAGTCTGTGCAATGCCCGAGTCTCCCTGGCTTTTAGTAATGGCCTTGTACTCCCCTTTGCCCTGGGGAGAAGTAGAATGAGCCAGTGTACATACTACCCGATTAGCAGAGTAAAACTCTTTAAAAAAAATAAATAGCATCTCTTGAGATGAAAATTGTGCTATCTCCCATTATGTTTGTGACTTGATGACAGGCAAAATATTTAATAATGTAGAATTATCATCGATTCCATTTCTTGATTTAATGCTTGTTTAGGCTCTTCAGACTGTCTCTGGGAACTGTAACAAATGCTTCTTCCAACTTCACTTTTAAAAAAGTGCTTTGAAGCCAGGCAGTGGTGGCACATGTCTTTAATCCCAGCACTTAGGAGGCAGAGGCAGGAGGATCTCTGTGAGTTTGAGGCCAGCCCAATTTACAAATCAAATTCCAGGACAGCCAGGGCTATACAGAGAAACCCTGTCTCGAAACAAGTGTTTTGCTGTGTTATTCGTACATATGGAATTAAAACTCAGTTGAACCCCTGTTTGGAAATAAAACTTCTTGGAATTATTCCCAAGAAAGGCAACTGTACTGTAATTTCTTCTTCGTGGATTTAAGAGAGATACAGACCCTGTTGACCTGAGTCAGAACAGTCACATTCTAATCAACCTGCTCAGGAAGCTGGGCCCAGAGCATGGCTTCTGTCTGTTTTTCCTCAAAAGCAAATGGTCATTGTAAGTCAGGGATGCTTTCTCTTTTTTTAAAGTTGCTTCTTGTTACTTAATGGCATTAAAGTTTTATTTTATTATCTCCATATGAACTGACAAAAGGCGTATTGTAGGGTAAGTGCAGTGTGCAGTGATAATTATGTCACATGAATAAACATGCCTATCACCTGGGAAATTCTTATTTTTTTTTAACTTGGGAATTTTTTTTTATTTTCTGAGTCAGGGCTTATTTTTGTAGCTTTGTAGACCAGGCTGACCTCGAACTCTCATAAATCTGCCTGCTTCTGCCTCCCCAATGCTGGGGTTAAAGGCGTGTGCCACCACCGCCCGACTAACTCTTGGAAATTTTTTTTTTTTTTTTTTTTTTTTTTGGTTTTTCGAGACAGGGTTTCTCTGTATTGTTTTCGAGGCTGTCGGTCCAGCCTGGCCTCGAACTCACAGAGATCCGCCTGCCTCTGCCTCCCGAGTGCTGGGATTAAAGGCGTGCGCCACCACCGCCCGGCTCTCTTGGAAATTTTTAAGCAGTGTGCACTGTATTATTTGACACAGTTGCCTTCCTTTGTAATAGATCTTAAAAATACATCCCAACAAACTTGGCCCACCTTGACCTTTGTCTCTATGCTCTTGTATCCGTATAGCCTCTGGTAATTACCATTCTGCTCTCTGCTTATATGTGTTAGGTTGGTTTTGTTTTTGTTTTTTAACCAAGACAGGTTTTTTCTGTATTGCTTTGGAGCCTGTCCTGGAACTTGCTCAGTAGACCAGGCTGGCCTGGAACTCACAGAGATCTGCCTGCATCTGCCTCTGCCTCCTGAGTGCTGGGATTAAAGGCATGCGCTACCACCGCCCGACTTATGTGTTAGTTTGGAAGGTGTGTGTGTGTGTGTGTGTGTGTGTGTGTGTGTGTGTGTGTGTGTGTGTGTGTGTGTGTGAGTGAGCATATGATATTTATTCTCTAAAGACCTGGCTAACTTCATTTCATCTGTGTTGCAAATGAAAGACATTCTTTTCTTAAAGGTCGAAGAGTGTTCGGTTTTGTATGTATAACTCATTTCTCTACCCAGTTGTTAATGAATTAGCTGGATGAATTTGGCTGTTACCAATCACAATGCAATGACTGCGGTGATGCTGCTAGCCCTTTACTGAGTCTTCTGGAGATAAAAAGATGGAGTAGATAGTAGCTGTGTTTTACCTTACCTAGCAAGCATGGGGTTCAAGGTTGCTTTTCCTTCCCAATCTCTGATTCTTGTGGATCTCCTGTAATTGAAGATTGCTCGTTATTATCTCACGAGATTCCGAGGGAGGCTAACCATCATGTTTTGGCAAGCAGAAATAAGCCTTGTCAGAATAAAGAGGGTTTTTTGTTGTTGCTGATTTTCCATAGAAACACTCCAGTCAGTCACTTTGCTTCTTGTTAAAAAGTACTTTTCAATTGTGTTTGGAGACAAAAGAATCATTTGGGGGTGTTATCGCTTGTGCTCCAAAACGTTACAATAGTCCTGGCTAACCAAAAAGGAAGCTTCTATACA